ACGCACCAGCCATTCCTTAGAAAGCCTATACAGAGTCACTATGAGTTGGAACCAACTCAACAGCACTTTAACGAGACAACCCCACCACTAGGCAGTTTGAACCCACCAGTGACACTGTAGAAGAAAGGCTTAGTGATCTGCTTCCATAAAGATCATAGCCAAGAAAACCCCACGGGGCAGAGAGCAGCTTCATTGTGTAACAGATGGGAACGTCATAGTTTGAATCGACTTGACAGCAATCTTGTTTGTTTTTTAAATACAGTTAGAGCAGAACAATCTCCTACCCTCTTCCCCTATCAGAAGACTATATGAGGAGATTGTATCTATGACTTCTACGAAATGGTACGGAAGTATCTGAAGCCTGGAAGCAGTAATGTTCTCATTTGCAATGAGACCTGTTGTGAATTTCCTCTTGAGACAGGTATTTCTAAAGCATGCTCTCCCACCATCTCAACATCTCAATGTCTGTGGGAAAAATCAAAGGACATGTTCCATTTCAGCAGCAGTGCTGATTAGATTCTGCTGCCTTAGTACTGCAAGAGGTCACTGTGGTCACAACAAGCAGTGCAGGGGTTAACAGGCTCTCTGTCTTGTATCGTTTTTAAGCAGAAAGCACTTTAGCAGTTGATACGGAGTCTGTGTTAAATGTCCTGTATCCCCAACAGACAGGAAGATGCTGGCAGAGCAAAGGTACCTATAACTGAAAAAACATCCAGCTTTGATGAATTTATTCAGACTTTTGTAATCAGAGAATCTGGAAAGAAGCTATTTTAACTTAAGTGAAAATGCAATTTTTTGTTTTACAATTTATCATTGTTTTCATTTTAATTTACATATTTGGATTTACTGTAGTCTTTTTTGTGTTTAAGGTCTCCAAAAGTCTTAATCCAGCCTGGATGCCAAATTCAGTAAGGTCATGGAGAGTTGGACTCTTTGCTTTCCAATACCATTTTTTTTTTAAAGTGCCTTTTAATCTAAAAATGTATGTACACAGTCTTAAAACTGAATTAACTGTATGTTGTTATTGTGACTCATAGCAATCCTACACAGGGTTCCTCAGGAGCAGCTGGATGGTTTGAACTGCCGACCTTGTGGTTCTCAGTTCAGTGCTTAGCCTAAGTGCCATACTGGGAACCCTAATTAATAACACGAGGATGACAATTTAAAAAAAAAAAAAAGCTTCCTGCTGCACTCACTCCCAAGTTCCACTTCAAAACACAACCATAAGTTTTGTTTCAGTGTTTACCATTGTTTCTGTGTTATGTGTTTATATAACTGGTTTTTAGTTTTCTATTTTAGATATTATCTATGGACTTCCTACTATGGAGGATAGGAATTTAGCTCTCTTACCTCTCTCTCTTACTCACACTTTCATATATATATATATATTTTTTTCTCCCCCTCAGCTTTCAAATATAATGATATCAGTTTCAAATAATTCATTATTTAAATTATTATGACTATGTAAGTAAATACTATGCATAACTATTATGTGCAGATTACATTTTATTTCTTTGATAACTTTTTGGTATTCTAGGATTAATAACTGTCTTGATTTTGTTTTTTAAATTGCCTGGTTTTCTGTCACTCTCTCTCAAACCACCCCTGACTTCTCCAACCTATGGTCAAACTCAATGGGTCATCCATTAGTTCTATTTTTCTCTAGAAGGTATCCACTCCTCATTGGATCCCTATGACCCAATCCAGTCCGAATGGATTTCTCTCCAGCTGATTAGTGCAGTTTTCATCAAGGGACCTGCCTTTATCTTATCATCCTGGGCATCCTTTCAACCTTTCCCCTATGTTGGAGCCCCTATACCTCAAGTCCATGTCTTTGTCTTTCTTCTTTTACCTCATACTCAAGGAACTCTCTGAGAAAAATCATGTGTGGAAAGCAGATATTTTTGAGACTTCATTTTTGAAATTGGGTATCTAAAAACATCTTTAATTCCTCTATTTTAAACGTCTGTAAAGGGCCTCTTCTGCACCAGACATTGTGTTAGATCAGAGAAACAGATGAGTAATGCATGTGTGTCTTTCCTCAGGCTGCTTACTACACCACCCCCTTGCTCCTTTCTTGGTAGCTCCCAAGGAACCCAGTGTGAAAATTACTTATCCAATCCAGCTGTTGTCCAGAGGGGAAAGTGGCCTGCCTAAATTCCTAGTCTTACATTTAATAAAAATTAAATATAAAGTCCTGGTGTGGTGCTGTAGGATAAGCACTGAACTGCTAACCACAAGATCAGAAGTTCAAACCCATCAGCTGCTCCTTGGAAACCCTATATAGAGTCTGTACATGTTGAAATTGACTTGACAGCACTTAACAATAACAACAAAGTCCTGATTTGGTGCTGTCAGATAAGCACTGGACCGCTAACCACAAGGTCAGAGGTTCAAACCCACCAGACACTCCTCAGAAAGCCTGTACAAACTTGCTATGAATTGGAACTGACTCCACAGCAGTTCACAACAACAACAATTAGTGTTACTAATATGCAATTGAACCAATTAATGGTGATTCCAAGAGAAAAACCCAGGAGCTACATTATGACTGAAACTCAGTGAGATGTGGAATAAATTAGAACAAAAGGCTATAAATTGCTCACCTATCCCCTAATAAAATGATGGCTATAATAGCTAAGGTTTTGTGTCAACTTAACTGGGCCAGGATTCCTAGTGGCTTGGCAGTTGAGATGTGCTTATCCCCACAGTGAAACCTAATACAGGCATGTTGTTGTGTACCGTGGAGTTGCTTCTGACTCATAGTGACCCTGTACAGGGTTTCCAAGGCTGTAAATCTTTACAGGAGCAGAACGCCTCATCTTTCTCCCGTGGAACAGCTGGTAGTTTCGAACTGCTGACCTTGCGGCTCGCAGCCCAATTCGTAACCACTACGCTACCAGAGCTCCTAATACAGGCATAGTTAACTCTATAATAATTGGTTATGAGCAGGCATAGTTAACTCTATGATGATTGGCTATGACCAGCCAATCAACTGAAAGGATGTTTCCCTGGGGATATGGCCTGCTCCTAATATAACACATACACAGGAAAGGAAAACTTGCTCTTTTCTTCTGTGGACTTGGGACTCTTGTCTGCCTGTAGGGAATGCCTGCTGATGTTGGCTCAGCTGAACCAGACATGGGACTCTATGGTCGTGAGCCATTTCCTTGACACACACACACAGAGGGTGAGTAAAAAATTACCCACACTCCAGTTATATCAAAACGTCTTTCCGTGTCCACAGCTGATGATAACATTGAACGGGGCTGTGTAATGATTCTGTTGAATAATTAAGCGATGTGGCAAATCGTTTGCAAATCAGGCACGGCTATGCCTATGAAATCATCCATGACAGACTTGGGTTTCAAAAAGTTTGTGTGAGATGGGTACCAAAACAACTCATGGAAGGGCATAAACAGAAGCGTCTGGACATTTGGAAACAAAATTTGGACTGATACACAAGGGAAGGTAAAAGTTTCTTAAAAAAAAAAAAAAAATCGTTACTGGTGACAAGACATGCAGTCATCACTATGAGGCTGAGAGTAAATGGCACAGTATGGAATGGAAACATCCTCAATCACCAACCAAGAAAAAGCTGAAAAGTCAACCATCAGCTAGAAAATTGAGGCTTACAGTTTTCTGGGATTCTCAAGGGCCAGTATTGGGACAGTATCAGGTAAAGTATTCAACAATCAACAATGCTTGTTGCAGTGAGATACTCGCTGAAGAGCTGAAGCCTAAACTTTAGATTCAATGCAGAGTATTGCTACCCAAGGACGCTGTGATCTTACGTGACAATGCACGTCAACACATCTCTGCCTATGCTGTTGACACTCTGCAAAACCTTCGTTTTGAGGTATTAAAGCATCTTCCCTACAGTCCTGATCTTGCTTCATTGGATTTTCACCTAAGGGCCAGTAAACTCTTCCTTTGGTTCCCTGAAAGCAGCCCTTCGAGGACAAAGATTCACCTCTGATGAAGAAGTGACAACAATGGTGAATTCGTGGCTTGCAGCTTAGCCACGAATTTATTTTTTTAAATAAGGGAATATGGAAGCTTGTTGACAGATGGACAAAGTGTATTGAAAAGCAAGGCAATTATGTAAAAAAAATTATGTAGCTGTCTTTTCTAAAAGTTGGTTAAAATAAATTCTATAGTCAGAATGCAGATATGCAGATAATTTTTTATTCACCCTTGTGTGTGTGTGTGTGTGTATATATATTTCAGCCTAAGACAATGGCATACCTGAAAATGTTGGATTAATTGTTGTCTTTACGTATGTCATTTACTTTGAGGAGATTGCTTTTGATCATGCAATTTAAAGAATGTAAAACTCAGTCAAATTTCAAAACAAAAACAAGGATCCATGAGAAACGTCTCCACTATTCCGTCCATGTCAGGTAGAGTAATTTATCATATGGTGATAGCAGTTACCACAGTTGGGCTTTTTGGATTAAAAAACAACAACAAAAGGACAAAACTAAGAAACTGAGTTTTATTCTTGAAGTACAGCAATCCCATATAGAGAGACTAACAAGGCTAAAGAAATTTCAGCTTACTTTTTCAGCTCAAAACTCTCCCAATAACTGACTAGCCTTCCAAGTGATGTTGTCTTCAGCGTGATGGAACACAATCTGTTTCTAAAGGATGAGTGGCTGGGGATTCCTCTTTCTGGGAAACCTACAAATCTGTTGCTATGCACTGCTAGACCACCATTTGATCATAATGAGCCTTCAAATTTCAATTCTTCCTTTATTGGCAACTGAAGATGACTTACATGTTCCTTAATTTAAAAAAAAAAATAATAACACAATTCTTAGAGTGTACTGGCCTTTAGGTGAGCCAATCAACCTCTGTCAGCCTCTGTTTCCTCATTTGTAAAACAAGCATATTGGATTGAAATATCTGTAAGGTTCTTTCAAACTTTCTACTTCTTGGAGATCCCAACAGAATCAATAGGTGTCACTGTATTTTGGAGTCTAAAGAAAGTTACTTACCCAGAGAGGTGCAACCCAAGACATTTTCCAAACACTTGACAAGTGCTTCAATATCACTGTCCTGCCAAATAAAAGAGAAAGACTTACTTTACCTTTAGGTAAGAAAAATATTTAGTGACACAGAAAAATGTTTATGCTATAGTTCATCAAAACAAAATTAAATTTAAAAATCTGGTTGCAAAATTATTTTACAGTATGATCCCATTCTTTTTAAGAAAGAAAAAAGTGTGTGTTTATATATGTGTGTTGTGGCTGTTAAGTACTGTTGACTCAATTCAGACTCACTGTTGTTGTTAGGTGCCATCGAGTCAGTGCTGACTCATACTGCCTGGTCCTGGGCCAACCTCACAATCAAATTGTTACTGTATTTGAAGCCACTGCTGCCGTCACTGTGCCAATCTATCTCGTGGCAATGGTAGTGAGGTTGGCCCAGGATTAGGCAGTGTTTCGTTCTGCTGTGATAGGGTCGCTGTGAATCAGTGTCAACAACAACGACTAGAATTTAATTTTCTTTAGCTTCAGCATGAGTGACATGAACATTTTTCTTTAAGAGCATCTCCACGAGTTCTTCTTTGGAAATGTATGGTCCTCAAGAACTTCTGGTGCGGTGCCATAGGATTAGCACTGGACGTGAACCACAAGCTTGGTAGTTCAAACCTACCAGCTGTTCCTCGGAAACCCTATACAGGGTTACTATTAGTCGGTGCCAACTCGACGGCACTTAACAAGAAGTTATAAATCTCCTAATTGCACTCCTCATTACCTTGAGTACCTAGTACTCATGACTACACGAGAAGAGTCAAGCACCCCCATGAGCATTAGGTGGGATCCCAAATCATTATGTGATAAGAACTAGTACCTTTTACACTAAATAAATATCTGTACTCTACTCAGCAGACTGTCAATATCAAAAATAGTACCATGATCTGGAAAAACAGAACCTCTTAATCAGACTATAATTTCAGGTTTGTAGGTATACTGGAAGAAATTAATAATTTTTGGATCACCTGCTCCATTTCAAAACAAACAACATGCTTCATTTTACAGTAATTGTGGATATTAGAAAAATGTACTGCAGTCAGTCTACTAGACTCCAACGTTGTATAAATCTGCTAGATTCTATTTTATAACATCTCATGGCATTTAAGGAGCTCTGGTACCAGAGTGGTTACGAATCGGGCTGCAAACCGCAAGGTGAGCAGTTCGAAACTACCAGCTGCTCCACAGGACAAAGATAAGACTTTCTGCTCCCGTAAAGATTTACAGCCTCGGAAACCCTGTTCAGGGTCGCTATGGGTCAGAACCTACTCGACGGCACTTAACAACAACAACAACAACATGGCATTTGAGTAGCTTTTTAAAAATTGTAAAACCCACTGCCTGGCCTTCTTATGATAAAACCTAGATAGTGTCATTTCATACACTCAGAACTTAGAGAGGGGTGATGTAGAGGAAGTTATGCCTAGTCAGTGCACTTTGTGTTCTACAAACTTGCAGGGACAGCCTTGGGTCAGAGCGGAAGGACTCAGCAGAGAGACACCCTCTGCTGGAGACATCAGCAGATGAAGATAATGACACCACCAGGGAAGCCTAGGTTGTAGGTCTGGCTCCTCCACTAAGTGTGGTGGCCTAGGACCAGTGGCTTGGCCTAGCTGTGAAATAAGGGGGTTGAATCAGATGACCAACCAGTAAGGAGTCTTCCAGCTCTAAAACCCAATTTTCTGTCTAAAGAGCTAGAGTGTCAGTGAGTGGTAGATTGTTTCAAAGATGTTTACCAGCTTCCCCATCCTTGTGCTCCTATATCATTGTTCATATTAGGAGGTAGGATCGCTTTCCTTACTCCTTGAATTTAAGCTGCTCCTGTAACTTGCTTTGGTCAAGAGAATGTAGCAGCAGTGACACCGTGTGACATTTATAACTACGCCTTAAAAAGTTGTGTAGCTTTCGTTCTCTTAGAAGCCAGACACCATGTAAAGAACTCCAGTCTAGCCCACTGGAGAAATCACACATTGAGAGACCTTGGAGCATGAGAGGCCACATGGAGGGAAACCAAGATGCCCACCCAACAACCAACTGCCGGATATGTAAGTGAAGGCATCTTGGTCTGCCCCAAGTCAACCTTTCAGTTGAATGCAGCTGTCCAAGTGACTAAACAACATCCCATGAGCACAACCATCACCTACTGAGCCCAGGCAACCCACAAAACCATGAGAAACGACACATTTTTGTTTGAAGTCACTACTGGTGACTTCTGGTGCTTTGCTACACAGCAAAAGGTAACTGAGACAACAAACAAATTGAGAGCACTGACCAGGCCTTTTCTGTTCTGTCACCAGCACTTAGGCCAGCCCCTTGTACTATGCTAACTGCATATCTGTGAGGGGCTCTTCTAGCTTCTTTGATTTGCAAGGAAGTGAAGCTCCAGTTACAACAGCCAGACTCTCAAATTCAAAGCACACTGGCACTGGGAAAGTGGAGGAAAAGCATGCTACCATTCAGTTAACCTCTACAAATCTCAGATCCCTCCATTGTAAAGTGAGAAGAATAATGGCCTCTATCTTACACAGAGCTCTTATGAGAAGCAAGTAAAGCAATATACATGAAGTTCTTAGTACAGTACATGGTTCAGTGGAAACACTAAATGGGAGAAGAAAACTGGATGCCATGGGGTAAAATGGAAGAGAGATAAGAGGCCCAATCACTGTGCCTACCACAAAGCATGGAGGTTATCACTAAGTGTTTGATGAGTTGAATCAATTAATGGAAATGACAAGAACCAGAGGTAGGGCTGAAAGGATCATCTGACTGACCAGACGGATCAACTATGCTTGCTATAAAGAAGTTAGGGAGCACTGTGCAGGAATATGTGGAAGGCAAAAATAATACTCATATTACTAGACGAGAGATGGACTGAATGAATACTACCCTTTATTAAGCTCTTACTATGAGTTACGGTTATTATCAATTGACATGTATTAGGTCATATATACATGAGTTACGTGTATTAGTTCATAGTTTAAACTCTATCTGCTGGATACTATTATTATCTCCTTTGGACAGTTGAGAAGACTGAGGTTTCATAATATGGCCAAGGTCACACACCTAGTAAGAGGTGATACAAGAGTTATGTATCCAGAGCCTAAGCCGGCCTCAGCTAATATATAACACATCTGCCTAAAAGTTACAAAAAGCAGGGGACCCTAACCTAGGGAAGCTCACAATACTGTTGGAGGAACCAGGGCATAAGTGAATGAAGAACCAAGAACAATTCCTGGAGTTATATTTGCAATAAGGACAAGTCATTTTCTCTCTCAAGGCTGCAGGTCAAGGTGTTAAGAACCAAACTGCCAACTATATCCATTACTTTTTTTTTTTTTTTTTTTGGTGGGGGTACAATTTCAGCCTTTGAGAGAAACTGAAAAATAGTATGAAAATTCCCCCTAACACCCTTAACCCTGATGTCAATATTTTATGACATCTACTCTCATCTATCTGCTTCAAGATTTTCAATCTCAGCACTACTGACATTTTGGGTTAGATATTTCTGTTCTGTGCATTATAATTTGTTTAGCCATCAGAAGCCAGTAGCACTGCCCCCTCCTCCCTCCCCGCTGACCCAGAATTGTAACAAACAACAATGACTCTAGACATTTCCAAGTGCTCCCACGAGGTCAAAAATCCCAAATTGAGAACTACTGATCTACGTATCTCTATCTAGAAACATATTTTTCCGACATGTCAAATCTGGAAACCCTTGAGCATCAAAATAAGTAATTATTTGAATGGATTATTAGACATAGAATAAATTGACACGTAAATAAATGGTCTTTTTTTAAAGAGAAAATACATACCAAAGGTCAGGTTCTACATTTTTAACATTAACAATTTAAAAAAAGAATTCAAGCATTTGCTTTACGTAACTGCCATTTAACCTATCAGCCAACTTACTCCTAGTGTTTCAGAAACTGTCATATAATTGGACGGGACATACACGATCCCAACCAAAATACAGCCAATCTTGTGAGAACAGGGAGAAAAAAACAGAATTGAATGTCAAGTCCTTTTAAAGATGGCTTCTGCTATTCTGCACCATATATACTTTAACAAGGACTTTGGTCATGGAAGGTATCTCTCAGGACCGTATCATAATCGGTACAATGTGGAGATTATGCTGGTGACCAAAATGTTTTAATTTCCTCACTGTTTCATAATTTAAATGAAACTGTGCAGGCGCTAAATGTCCTCAGAGAGCAACCACACCTCACTAGATGCCAAATTCTAATGATGCCAGTCTTCAGTGCAGCCAAGAGCCACGAAGCTGGCTTTCAAATAATGTAATGACTCCTTTGCTGATGACTTTAGATACTCAAGTTTCCTCCCCTCAGAGCCCACAACCCCACCCATAACAGCAACACTTTAGAGTCATGAGGAACATCTGTCAAGATTCAGTTCTAAAAGCTTCCCCAGAGATTCAAGGTCAATCAAAATGCCTTTTTTTGTTCTGCTTCTTCTTCTTTCTTTCTCAAAAGCAAAAAATTGCTTCTAAGGAGTATAGAATGCCTGTTTTCAAGCAGTCCAGTCTGATTGATAATAGGGTTAACAACTACTAATACCTGCCTAGCAGTCACAGAAAAAGCTATGCTGTTTGGCACATCTTCCCCCTTTAAATCATGACTGTATGTAGATATTGTAATGAGTACTTTCTGTTACGATACATATTTGTCAACCTTGGTGTCGGGGACTGACC